AAAAAAAAAATACGAAGGCATCATCACAGACTTCATCTTCAGCCAGTTTCTTCAGCATCTTCCCAGTTGTATTTATTTCAGGTTATCTTTTTGTAGCCATTTACTGCCACTTATTTCAGGTTCCTCTAACTTTATCAAAACACTTAACAACATTTAAAACACTTGTTTTTTCATTTATTATTAATTAACTCTATCTTCTTTTGTACTTCTTGCTATCACACACAAGCAATGGCAAAAGAATACAGCCTCATAACAGATATCTCTCCTGGTCAAAGAAATTGGACAGCAAAAGTGTTTGTTGCTGAAAAGGGACCAGCAAGGACAGCTCAACACAGCCCCTCAAAATACCAAAACTTCATACTTATGGATGAAAAGGTATCACATAGTTAGTATATACTTCATTTGCTTTCCTGTTATGCCATTTTAATGTACAACGATTTTTTCCATCATGTATTCACATCGTGTTTTTTGGTGTAATCTTTAGTGCACTTTTGACAGTCTACTAACTCGCCACAATTATATTTCAAAATTGAACAGGGAAATAAAGTTCATGCCACAATTTGGGACAGTAACATTTCAGCTTTTGAAAATGAACTAACCCTTGGAAAAACATACTTGATCTCTAATGCATATGTAAGACTTCCAAAAAATGATTATAAACTTTGTGTTGGAGATGTACAATGGACTATTTCCGGAACAACTAGGATTGAGGAAATACAAGAAAACAATGATGCACTATTATTTTCAACATTCCACATCACTCCGTTTCAAGATTTCGAAAAATATATGGACACAGATGCCGACATAGGTATCATCATCATTTGTTTGACATATTCTTGTCTTCCATTTTCTTTTTCTTTTCCATCATTCTTTCATACTAACGTATTTTTTCTATTGTAGCTGTGCTTGCAATTGCTATTGACATACGACCCAAGAGACTCATACATACACGGGCTGGCGGACAAGTATATGTTCAAGATATTGTTCTTATGAACAAAATGTTGGTGTTCATTTTGTTATACTTTAATTTAATTCCAGCTTATTCAGACTATAATGCAATTCATTTTTTAAAATGCTTGGCAGATTTGAAACAGTTGTCCTGACAATGTGGGAAGCTTTCATGGATCGAGAATGCATTTTCCTTTCAAACACTATAACAAAAAAACCAGTCCTGGTTGGAAATCATTTGAAAGTTTCATCTTTCAACGGTTTGTTCGCTTAACCTTTTCCTAAGTATATGTTTGGATATAGCATCTTACATAGTTGTTACAATTAAAAAAAAAAAAAGTTTCATCAGATAATTGCAAGTATGAATGTGTATATAAAATAACCTAAAACATCATTTACACTTTCCTTCTTCTCTGTAGGACTGTCTCTATCTACAAAGACCAATAGTTGTTTTTTCATTGACTATCCATTTGATGAAGTTACAGAGTTCAAATCATGGTAATATCTAATTCCTATTACGTTTTGCCACTTGAAATCATTTCAATGCATGAATTAAACTCTCACTCATGTATTCTCCCTTTCTTGACTGGTTAAATTTACCTGATTCAGTCACTGCTATTCCATTTTCTTAACTGATGAATTTTACATTTCCATTCTGATTAAACCTGATTCAGTCACTGCTTTTCCATTTTCTTGACTGGTTAAATTTACCTGATTCAGTCAGCTTCTTACATTAAACTTTCATGATATAATATGCAAGGATTGCTGAAAACTTGGATGAATTGAATGAAATAGCATTGATGAAACCATATCTCGCACTTACCCCATCTAATTTATCGCTTCCATCTGAGGATAAGTACACTGAAATTAGAGATATCCAGCCTCTGTTAATTCTGGTAACTCACTTCACACTTCGTTTGAATTAGTTTTTCCAGAAATTTACAATCCATTTATTTAGTTTATATCACGTATATAGAACACTTGTGCATTACTTACTATAGGTTGCTTCATTTTTACAGCACAAATATTTCTGGGTAAAAGCAACAGCAGATGTTGAAATGAAAAAAAACTCTTTTTGGTACCTATCCTGTAATAACTGCAACAGAGTTTCAAATGCTACTAAGGCTGGTGAAACATACTACTGTAGGTTCTGTAAGTCTCAAAATTCAATAGCAGTGCCAAGGTAAGAAAAACAAATCAATGAAAATTCTACACATGTACCACATTAGTTTCATAGTGATAGCATCTTTAATTCTCCAACCCAAGCTATTTAAAACTTATTCATTACACTAACAATGCTGTCTCATAATTTTCTAGAGCACGAGTAGATGTTCGCTTACATGATTCAACTGGATCTCTTAGTGCATCAGCTATGGGTGAAACAGCTGAAAATATTCTGCAATGTCGCGCTGAGGTTTTAATGGACCAAACATCTGTAAGGATCACTACCTTTTTTTTTTATCACTTACAAGTTTACTTTACTCATTAATCACACATTCTAACATCTCCAGGAAACTGCACAAAATCTTGGTGAAATTATCCGTGCAAAAATTGATAAAGACCATGCATTCTACGTGAAGGCAATACTGTTGCAACCCAATCCAACTGAATTCAGCCCTACCGTACAGAAGCAGCAAAGCTCAGCAGACCATAAGTATGAAATCATCTTCATGCTTGACTCAACTCCAAGAGAACCAGCTATTAAAGACTCAAACATCAAAAAAAATACAAGTCCAGAAGCTCAAGTCGACAATACAAATTCAGCATCACTTCTTGCAACCTCATCTCCTTGTGTAAAGAGATCACTTTTCCAAAAATCTGATGACCCAAGTCCTGCTACAAAGAAAGTCGACAAACGCACCAACAACGAAGACAAACAAGCATCCATCAAAAAAATGCAATAGGCATTTCTGTTGTTCTTTTGTTTGAAATTATCTTTTGTCCAGTGAAGTGGTTAGTTACATGGGATAATTTTGTACCAAAGAACCACAGCAAGTGATAGTAGAATGTTTTGAAGGCTATGTATGAATTTGTAGCCTTTTTTTTGCTCCTGCACATGGACCAACAGGCTGTAATAATTTGGGATCACATGTGTTCATCCATCACCAGTTTAAACGTTTGGAGTTTCAACTAATGGAAATATTACTGCTGATCTAATCACTGTCTTTTGTTTTTTATCAGTTGCTTACATATATTACTCTTCCTATGGTATTTAATCAACCAGGTTATGCACCCTATGTAATTTACAATTCATTCTGAAGGATGTTTCAGTTGATTAACTTAATAATAATGTGAAATTTACCAAATAAGCTCTTCAAAGAAAAATATGTTCATTCAATCATTAGAAATCCAAAAATGTTTTCTTACAGTATATCCATCTTCTTACATAGTAACAATTTGTCACTACACTTCATCCATGCTAATCTACCATCAAAAAAACACATTGCACGTGCAAACACTAGTTATGCTGAAAAGTGTGAACAAATGGAAGTTTGTGTGATTACTATTTTACATGTTTTGCCCCTATTTGTCCACCATTATTAAAAGTGAATAAATTTTTGAATAGTAAATTATTGGAGAATGTATGATTAGAAAATGGATAATGATGGTTGTACATCAAGGGTTACACCCCCCTCACATGAGGGGTGGGACCCACTGAAATAATATTTTTTTATTCGAGTGGATTTCATCCCCCATGTGAGGAGGGTGTAACTCCCGATGTAACTCTGGATGTACCACTAGCATGATCATTAAAAAATAGGAAAAAATTTAGAATTTACGTGCAAAATATTTTATTGTGATAGTGTTTGGTTAAAAATGAATCTGAGAAAAATAAAAAGTTTTGAGATAATAGTAAACAAATATGCATGAATCATCTTTTTTACTGTTTACGTGAACATCCAATACAACCACTCAATATTTGTCTTCAGTTTATGTTTTATTGATCATTGTTTCTTATATCTTATAAAATGACTTTTTGTAATGGTTTGAAAAATATTGGAAAAACCTACTCAAAAAAGAATTGTTGGTAAAATTTCAAAAATGACGTTTTTTTGTTCAAATTTGTATTTATTGAATTTCTTTCTCGTCCGAGCTGATGTAGATGAGAAACAAGAAATTTTTTTAATGAAATAATAAAAAAAGAAATTCTTAATGAAACAATAAAATACATAGAAATCGAAAAGAACAAATCAAACCTAGTGATAAAAGCATTTGATTACATGGTGTTCTTGTCATCCTTTCTATTTTGCATTTGAAGATTTTAATTTTCCTTGTCCTGTGTTCTTTTTTCTTTCCTTATTTTCAACCCTCTATTAATTAATACATTTTATCTTTAATAATATTTTAAATATTTAAAGTCAATTTTATAATTGTTCAATTTATTCTCTCTTTTTTTCTTTTTCTTTTTTTCTTTTTTACATTATGATAGGCAAATTCGCCCTTAAATTATCTCTTACCGGAATTTTAATTTTCTTAATGATAAAAATGCTATAAAAAATAAAATAGAAAGCCGTTATCATGACTAAAGATATGAATCTTTCGTGCAATTAAAAGGTCGCATTGTCAATAGCCTTCAAGGAATAATTCAATACTAAAGTTTCACTATCCCTTCAATGAAAGTTGCAACTCACTAACGACGTCAAAATTTTCAGAACAGCAAAATAGTTAAAACTTGACAATTATACCGACTAGTTGGTATGCCTAATTTCAAGGCAAAGTTATTTAGTACCATTAGTGTTACAATACAAGTCTAGGTGGCACTACGTATCATTATATGAAAAGTACAATTAAATGAATCACATAATTTCACCTTTAATTAACATATTCCATAATATCACATAGATTGGTGCTAGATAGCATTATTCCTGAATTTGACCAATTTCTGATAACCAAACAAAAAATACCCCCAAACGGGCCAAACTACATCTATTTCAAAGAGGTCGCCGAGGAGGATTCAGTAAGACATAAATGTACGCAACATCAGGGAAAAGTACAAGTTGTTGGTGAAACTATGAAGTCAACACCACAAAGAAAAGCCTAATTATGGATAAAACATCTCGTTACTAACAAACTAATAGCAAAATTCATATGCACCGGGAACATTTCTTCATTTGATAATCTTCAAGGACCCAATCCACCAAACTGTAGTAATCCCTGCCACGGATGAAATCATCAGATATAAATCAACAAGTGGATCCAGTTCCAACATAATCAGGCATTAAAATTATATCAAAATACAAGCTGCTAAATGCAATCCCACAAAATTATGCAGTGAAAGAAAGACCAGTCCACTCAAAAACATTATCCCTTGTGTTTTTTCCGTAGTTTTTATGAATTTCTGATCAAACACGAGAGACATATGATAAATATCAACAACAAAATTCGGTCAACCAGTAGCGGAGGATACGAATACGATCTAAATTCTTTTTACAATCCAGCGTCATGACAAAGTTTCCACCAATGCTTTTATGTTTAAAATGTCAACCTCGATAGCATCAACAATAGCACCAATGATAGCAAAATATGCGTCTCACTTAAATTAATCCTTCTTACTTTTCCATTGGCTTTTTTCCTTTCTGGAGGAGGAAGGTTGAATAGTACTGGGTATCAACTATCAAGCCACTGAAGGACAAAATTTCCCTAAGATAAACACAACATACATGATGATATCACCGTGGATGTGTGGCTATAATAGAGCTACTAATATAAGAAAATGGCCGCTTTCTCAACATTTGGAAATGGCACCACGTCATGATAAATTAAGGCATGATTTGAATGGCTGAAGCATGTCTTTTGCTAACATAAAGCTCTTATACTTAGGATCAATGCGACCTGGTTGAGTATTCTAACAAGGCAGACAGACTAAAATTAACATGGCCCAACATAGTAGTGGTTAAAAGATTTGAATTTCTTGGACCTCTCATGGGAGAAAAATCTAAGGTAGCTCTAAATTGACGAGGATGACCAAAAAAAGTTTACTGGGAGTAAGAATTAGCTTGTTGTAGTTGTCATTGGAGAGAGGGGGTTCCTATTTAAATTCGTATAAGAATTCGTTTACAAAATTAATGCATTACATAACATTGCATTCCTGTACCATAATCTTCGAAGAAATCAGTAAAAACATAAACAAGCAAAATAGGCAAGTGCATAATGAACTATATTAACAATAGAGACATCAATAAAGCACTTCTGAATGCAGTTTTGTAGCATAATACAAAATTGAACATTCTAGTTTGTTTCACAATTCACTAATAGCAATTGGGATTGCTGGCAAAACTAGAAGCAATTAAACATTCTTATTACTCCACATAAAAAAACAATATAATTTTAAGTCATATCATCTGCTAGCTATACTATTTTCTACACAAAGTTTTATGAATAAAATCAACTAAGGAATTCGATAATGCAATAATTCAACACAAACCAACAAACAACAATGCAACATATATACTATATTATTCAATAGGCTTGTGTACTCAAAATATAGTAACTACATACCAAAAATAATTGCAATCACTATTGCTGCTGATTCTGTTGAGTAGCATTAGGCGGTGGCGGCATCCCAGGCCTGGGGGGACCAAACATAGGAACCTGTCCACCCGGAGGAGGTGGCATGCCTGGGCGAGGCGGTTGCTGTCCATGGGGCATAGCACCAGGCATTCCAGGTCTGGGCGGCATTCCAGGAGGTGGAGGGCCTCTCATCATCTGCGGTGGGGGTGGGCCCATCGGCCTCTGTCCAAACTGCTGTGGAGCAAATTGCGGAGGACCTCCTGGCCTGAACTGCGGCGGAGGCGGCATACCAGGCATCCCAGGCCTAGGCGGGAAACCTCCAGGAGGTGGCGCTACTGGAGGCCTCATAACCGGTGCCTGAACCTGAGGCGGCTGCTGAGGATAAGAAATTGGGGGGCGTGAAATCTGGGGCTGCATCATCCCTGGAGCCGGTCCACCAACACCCCTCACAGGTCCAGCAAGTCCCGGCTGGGCCTGGACAAGCGGCCCCGTAGGAACACCTCGGCCAGCTGCCCTGCCAATTCCGGGTCCCGGAACAGCATTAGCACCAGTAGCTTTAACACGGGACTCATCCGGCGGAGGCGGACCCTCAACGGTAATTGAAATCACCTCCTCGCCACGGAGGAGTACGAGGCCAAGTGTACGGCGGTCTTCCCGGTCTTCCTTGGAGCCTTTAGTCGGAGGAAGTTTACGAAACTCCTCGCAATCACCGAGTACTAGATTCATGTGGCGGTCGAACGCCATGAATTTTCCGATGAGTTGCCGGCCATCCTGGATTGTGACGCGCATCCGGTAGTTAATGTATTGAAGCATCTTCGAACTCTTAGACATCGACATTTTCGCATTCAAAAATTGCAGTGCCCTCACTGTTTCTCTTGCTCTCTAAAACGGAGGGGTTAGGGTTTTGAGCGAGGGGAGGGTTTAATTTGTTTTAATTCAATTTTGTTATGATATGCAATATGCGACTTTACTTAAAGGAGATTATATCCTTGTGTGAAAAAATATCTAGCGTTTTCTTATTCTGTAATGTTACGATTTTAAAACATTCTCCGTTATCCATTGTTGAATAATTCAAATTGAAATGTAGAAGAAGAAACCAAAGAGGGATCCATGATATATCCATTTTGCAAACGAATTCTACCTACTGTAAAAATAAATTACGCATGAAGAGATTTTGCAAAGAAAAACCTTCAACCACAAAAAATATTACTGAGGATATTGATTATTTCTGAAACTATATCGTAACATTATGATACCAATAGAAATGACAATGTGATGAATTCGAGGAAGGAACTGCATTCCCCATTTCCACACCCCTCCCCAGAGATTTCTCCATCATGAGTGATGACAGAAATAACAACTGCCATCTCTTTAGATGGTTTTATCCCCAAGATCGAACACCATGTTCGATGACTAGATGATTGTAGATGCTTAACCGAGCGGAGTTTGATTAATGGACACGTGTAGTCATTATTCTTGATATTTCTAGCCATTACAACCAAACCTCATGATTGGTCCACGTGCTATGCCGGCAACCACTTCCCTCCTATATTGACACATTATATATACAAGATAGAGTGAGAGCACATGTATACCCTCGTTAGTGTGGGATGAACACTCATTAACCACCACAGCTTGCCAGTCCTCGTATGTATGATGTTACATTTGAAGTCCTTCCACTTGAGTGGATGTCAGGTAAAAATCTACAGCCATCCTTCTGTAGGTTTTGGGTTGTCAAAGTGGTTGCCAACGGAGGAGGACTACACTCTTTCAAATTAGTGCCTTCTGTGATTGAGCACAAATTAGGTCATGGCTAGAGCAAGACGAGTTACAAATGTAAACGCACCATTAGTCATGCAAGTGTAAACGAAGTATGAGGCCACCACTAAATACCCACATCCAAAGTTTGCTACCGTTGACCGAGTTCCTGCCTTCCAAAATCAAGTGGCGTCCAATGGGGCTGTTGCATCCGGGCTTGACTCATCTCTCCACATGGTAGGCCTCCTCGTTCGCTAGGCTAGCACCACTAAGAATAACAAAAAATAAATTATACTGAAAATTAGGGGACATTAAAGGGTTAGTTGCGAGATAATTCTACTTTTTAGTGTTGAATACCCCCGAAAACTAGAAGGACTTATGATGATGGAAATAACAACGGCCATATCCCTCTATAGGTAAATTGCCACACAAATATTTAAAGATCGGTAGCTACTACATGACTCTACAACCAAGTGTTAGTTGATTGAATAGTTTTGCCCCCGACAGGGGCTGAGCCAAGATTTTTTGTCAGGGGACACAATTTACTTGATAATGAACGTCGAGTTTTTGTCATGGAAGATATGATAATAAAAATATAAAATAATATTACAACAATACTAAAAATGACATAGTTTATAAATTACGCTTGTTCTTTCGATTTTTCATGCTTTGATATCGTTGTACAATAATTTCATTATCGAGCTTCAAAAATATATCTTTCTCTACATAAACAATTGTACTATCATTCATCCACTAATCACCCATCTGATTACGCAATCTATCATTTACAATACTCGTTGCAGAAAATACACTTTCCACAGTAGCTGTAGCAACCGGCAGAATCAATGCTAAGGTCAAAAACTTGTGTTTGATATATCATAATTTTCTTTATCAGAACTAATTTTTCTACAAGATCACCAATGTCGCTCAACCCTTCAAACTCTTTGTTAGAGCGCATGTCAAAAATATAAGTCTCAAGTTAATCATGAAGTACAACGAGATCTAATACAGAGAAATCTAATGAATAAAGCTCAGCAAGTCGAATCAAACTTTTCTTATCAAAAGAAGAAAATGAATTTTGTGGACATAAACAAGCTACACACTTGAGTAACTCTGTATTTTCCTCCGAGAAACGATCAGTCAATTCTTGAAGTTGAAAATCGATGACAGAGTAAAACGAATCTACTTGATAATGATATAAATTTGTAAGTTCTGGAGGGTAACGTTGTGGGCGACCACGAAGTGCACGACGTACAAACATATCATCTATGTCGGATACATCAATATAATGCTATTAACAGAAAGAACATACTTCTTCCCAAAAGGAGTCCCACCCTTCATCTCTCATTATTTGTAGTCGTTGTTTGCATAACTTCACCAATTGCATTGCATTCACAATATCTTGATCTTTTCGTTGTAATGCTTTTAACAGTTCATTTGAAATCCCCAAGACACTTCTCATCAACAGTAAATTAAATGCAAAATCAAATGTCCATATTGACTCCAGTAAATTTGTCGCGTCGGATCTTTGGTCACAAAAACAAGAGTCTTCTTCAACAATCACTGCAAGTACATCAAGAGTCATATTCCACATTATTCGACGTCGCCTCCAACAACATTTACGTTGTCCAAATCAGTTATTCTTTGAAAGAATCTCTTCATAAGATTTCAACTATTTCAATTCAACAATACCTTAATTTCAACAATACCAAATTTCAACAATACCCAAATTTTAGCAATTTCAACTTAACAACCGGTCAACACCCAAATTTCAACAATACCCAATTTCAACAGACAACAATATCCAATTTCTACTCAACAGTCAGTAATACCCAAATTTCAACCATACCCAATTTCAATTCCATAACATTGAATCTCTTGTCTCTACTCTATTGCACACAGCAAACAACAATACCAAAAACATAGTATTAAAAAAAGAACAATTTCAGATTTTCAGTCTCAAGATTTAAACTATCACCAAATGCCAATAATCGAAATATCCAATTGCCAAAGCCTAAAGAAAATACCTGGCGATCAATAGAGGCGGAGGCTGGAGGTGGTCTGGTGGAGGAGGAGAGCAAATGAGGCGACTGCGAGGCGGACTGGCGGGGGCTGCAAGTCTGCAACAACTCACGAATGCGGACTGTGGAGGATGGAGTTGTTGAGGCTGAGAGGAATGAGTCCGGAGGTGGAGGCTGAGAGCAGGAGAGTAGTTGAGCAGAGGATGGAGTCGTTTGAGCTTGAGGAAGGAAACGGAAGTCAGGTTTAAATGTTTAAATGGTGTGCTTCCCACACTACCATGGATGAAGACACGTCATCCACCATAAATGCTATGTCCTTGTTAGGTTCTACTGAAAAAAGTGAGTTAAAATTCAATTCAAAGTCAATATCTAATTTTAATTATATATTTTATGGGATCGATAAATTTTCAATCATATATTATATCAACTTTAATTAAAATCTATCAAAAATATGATTTTAATCTAAACCAAATAAGGGATATATAGAGGCAAGTTCTCTTAAATATATGTTACATTCTCAGTCTTTATATACACTTAGAAGGTATTTGGCGGGGATTAAAAATTAGATTTTTAGTGTATTGTGATAGAAGTTTTTAAAATGTGTTATTGAAAATATGTGGGACTCATGAAAGATATAGTTAATATTAATTATTTGTCTTTAACTTAAATTAAAATCAGATTTTAATCAAACCCAAACAGGCCCTTAGTGTGTAGGCTTGGGAGTTTTTCACTTATTTTGATCGTTTTTTAGTGGTACCATTTATGAGAGGGGAAAAATTGGCAGTGTTAGGCTTTTTTTTTTTGAATGATTAAAAAACCATCCAAAATAGATGTATTGTATTTTTGGGCGTCTTTCTATACCTGCCAAATTGGTGGGTTTTGACCGTTTCTTAAATTCTCTTTGAATTTCATTCACTATAAAATAATTATTCTCCATCCACATATTTTATTTAAAACTAACCTATAATAAAAAAAATTACTTTAAAGATTAAGATACACTTTTGTGTAAAAACTGCTTATGAAGTGAAAATGTTAATAAAACAAAAAATCATTTATAAAATATAAAAGTTTTTTATAAGTAAAAAAAAAAATCATTTGTGTAAAAAAATTATTCAAAATTGAAAATTAACTTATAATTGTAAAATTTAGTTATAAGTAATTTTTTATTTATAATTAAAATATTAGTTATAATAATACTTCACCTTTAATTTTAAAATTAATTATGGGTAAAAATGACTTATAAGTAAAATATTACATAATAATTATAAATTGAAATTTTTACTAAAGGACATATACGTAATTTATTCTTTTAACTTTTTTTAGAACAGTTAGATAATAAACTCTCGAGCATGAATTTGATTGTTTTAAAAACCGCTACTAACAACCACCTAAAATTGGACCATTCATCAACACCTAAAACGATACTTTAAAAAACACCCATAATTGGTACGCTAAAAGTCTCAAGCATGCTCTTATACAATTCTCGTTCCTGCTAGCTCAAGAATAACTAATCAAGAGGAGGGTGAATTAGTTCTTAAAACATTTTTCGAAAAATTAACCTTAAATCAAGCATGTGATAACTAGATAAATTAATTCAAATCGTAAGCACGAATATGAAAGCAATAATAAAGAGGGATAGAGAATGCAAACAATATAATTATGGAGGTTCTTTCCAACACAATGATCTATGTCCTCCGTCACCAAGCTCTTCGACACAAGTAAGGCCAATTTCACTATGTTGATTGATTTGTGGTGCATTCCAACCCTTTACAAAGCTTTCGGTGACTTATAAGCAAGGAGCACCGATCCTTATACAACGTTGAGTTTTACGGAACCTCAACATGACCACAAGTTTAAAGAGAATTGAATTTACAAATTGAAACTTCTCTCTTAATAAATGATATAATCACAATTAATTACCAGAAAGAAATATGCTAACACTTTAATAGCTAGCAATGAACGAAGCTCAAGTGTTAGGTATGAAAAACTTTGATGTGTAGACTGATTTTCAAGAGTTAATTTGATCAAAAGTTTTTCAAGACCAAAATGATTTGAAAA